GAAATTGGGATGTCTAATTCCGCGAAAGGAATGTTTTCAAAGTCTTCGTACGCGCTCGATGAGTTGTGATATGATGTAGAAGTCTTAAATGAGCCTTTCAGATAGTGAGGATTATTTTCTTGCTCTAGTTTTCTCGCTTCGCGTCTCCTTTCGAGTTCTTCCAGGGACGGTTCACTTAAATCCCGTTTGGAAAATGAATTATTCGGTTTCTCCGCCTTAATAAAAATATCATTCATATCTAAATCCTCTGAATCCGAGCTTTCCGAAGGTGGATCGTTGATCCAGGAATCCAAATCTAAATTCTCTGGTATTGGAACCTGAAAAATACCATGAAGTTTTTATGACAAAACTTTTAAATAATCTGTATTACATATATATCAGCTAATATGTACATATTTTCTTTCAATTTAACAAAATAAAACATATTTTTAAGTAACTAATACATGTACACAATACTAATAATTGATACTTACTTTTCTTTGAGCCTTTGGCGCAACTGGATTAAGTTCACCTTCGAAAGTCTTTATTAATTCCTGTGCAAGACCAGGATTTTCTTTTAAACATTCAAGTAGTACTAATGCGGAACTTGATCTTTCCTGAACTTCCAGATCGCCACTACAGACAAAAGTTGCTATTTTGTCCTTCAATTCGTAAATCTGTAAAGTGAAAGCTAATATTAGAACTAATAAAGATTAATAAAGATTTAGCTTTAATTTAATGCAAATATATTTATTTAAAAATATCACTAACTGCATGGTGCACGCTTTGTTGCACTATAAGGATGATATAAAAGTTTTATTATTATTGTATAAATTGTGTTTATGTTTTACCTTGTCTATAGTTTCAGTATTTTCCTCATTTTCTGCTTTAGCGAATGTCGTTGCAGCCAGCTTTAATATATTATGAACGTAAACAGCCTGTATATGTCCTGGCAAACTAGAAGCTTGTGATCGCAACATAGACTGCAATGTTGCCAAAGGATCTTCTAATTCACTATTGATTTAACAGATCATCGGAATGTATTATCATATATTAATTAGATTAATGCCTGTACGTATATAAAATTCTTATTACCTAGAGAATTCTCCACAAATCCATGCTGCTGCATATAAAACCTCAGACATTGTTGCCCTTGGCTGGCCGGTTAAAAGATATGAATTCTCAAGCAGTAAGGCACATTGTTGAACCGCATATTTTCGGATAGCTTGTACACGAATTGTTACATCAAGTAATTGAGTTGCTACTAATGGTCCGTGCTTGGTGCCTTCCATTCGTGTAAGTTCCACCAATACAGATATGTACCTGTATACACGAAATTTTCTATAATCTGTCCTAGAGAATGAATTTATACGTATAAAAAAATCTTATATTTACCACTCAAAGTAGGTGATGAAGTGATAGTTATTCTGTGAGCAAATTTGAATAATCTTTGAGAGCAATTCATCGCGATACATAGTGCCTTCGGCTTTGTCCATATGTACCATTAACTTCTTAACTATCTCCATTAGGTTTTTCTTGGAAACCATTCCGTACAATAAATCCAAGGCACGCAGTCTTATAGTTTCGTCTTTATCATCAAGACATTGCATAATTAGATCTTTGTGTGATTGCACGCTCTTTGGATGATTTCTCAATATTTTTGACATCGCCAACAATCCCAGATACTTCAAGTTTTGGTCAGAGTCCTCTATTAATATTCTCAATTTTTGAACACACAACTGTATTGAATCGGAGTGACTCGGCATACCAGACGATATAGAAATCAATACAGCGATTACTGTATTGATACATTCGTACAATAAGGACATTGCAGATGTACTAGAAACGATCAGAATTATGTGTTATATAAATTATACCGAGAATTGATTTATTTGCCAAAAAAGTAAAAAAAGAAAGCGATGAATACATTGTAAAAGACTATACGCATTACGAGAGATAAATTAAAAAAATAATATAAGACAGCTAGAAGATACAAAACTAGACAAGCAATGACATTAAAAGCGCGATAATTAATAGATACTTTAGAATAAAACATTACATTAGATACCTGTGTATCAAATTGGTAAGGGGTTCTATTAATTTTCTGCCAAGCCTAGGTTCTAGAGGTGTCAATGCTCCAAACTGAAAATATAATGTCATGTTGCCTTCTAAGATGTACTCGGTAAATTTTTTTTATACAGAGTAGTTTAAGTAATTCTTATTTCATGAACTAAAGTATGAAGAAATGAAGTATATAAAATCAAACTATATGCAAAACACAATATAAATAATCCTACGAAATATGTTCTGATACTGATGTATACACTACCAATGTATTACAGCTACAAGAAATAAATCTACAATTGTACTGTATATGTAAAAAAAAACAAGTAATATAAAACCTTGAAATCAGATCAATTAATGGTTGAGTAAGTCGCCGACCAAGCTTTGGTTCGATCAGAGTTATAGTCGAGAACTGAACGTGAGAAACAAAATCAACATATTGCATAATAAGAAAAAGATGTTATGTAAAAGATTTAATATTATTATTTACAATTATTTATTATTAGATTATTATTAGAAAAAATGATTATGATTATATGACTTTATAATCTAAAGCAACGATAACACTCACCAATTTGATAATTTTGATAAGCATCCAATTATTCGTGGAAGTTGTCATCAGCTTAAAGAAAACGGGCGCCAAGCTCAGGTAATTTTTCGGGTTTTTTCTAGCCAATTCGCAAACCACGTTTACCGCTGCACTTTGAACACCACTGTCTGGATCTTCAAGCTTTTCCTTTAATCTAGGGAAAGCGGGCCTGAGGGCCTCGGGAAATCTCAGAAATACTTTATACATCATCAAAACTGCTTTCTTGCGCAAGTATGGCTTTGTAGAAGTCAACAGTGTCATTATATCATGAACCAGGTCACGTGCTAAATCTGGACTTATAAAGCAAGACAAACCACTCAGCGCTAAACCAGCGTCATACTGATTTTGACTATTTAAATCTTTACGAATCATATTCGTTGTTAGCATCAATAGCTATAACAAAAAAAAATATTAATAAATTATGAGGTAATCATTTTTTTATAATCCTAGCAATTTGTTAAATATTGCATATTATACATACACATTTATAAACACATATAATTTTCATTAATAATCTATTATATCTATTTTTATTTAATTTTATATTTAGTTTATAAAAATATAAACAATATGAAAAATAGAACTATAAAAAAATATATATATAGACCTAAAAATTTATGTCTAAAAAATTTATATAAAATATCTATCTGAGACTCATTTAAAATAAATCTTACCTCTGTATCTGCATGAAAACTTTGACTGGCAGCGAGATAGCCGATTCGCTTGTGAGTGAACTTTGTTGACGACATTACTTCTATTATGTTAAACCCAGCCCAGCTGATGTCATACCCCAACATCTGGAGCTAAAGACACAAGGATAGAACAACTGTTAATACTTTGAACAAATTGAATTGAATTGAATTAAGTTGACTTGTGGTAAATCGATCGGTAGAAATCGCATCACGTCGACCGTCTCTAAATAAAATTTACATATGCCAGAGACTTACATATGTCAGCTTGGCCACGGCGTTGGCTTTGACCGCCACATTGTCCTGCCGCAACTCCTGCTTGATCTCCTCGATACACTGCGCGATGTACTTCGCCTGGGACAGAAAAGAGGCGTAAAGTATCCTCGCGCTCAACGGGAAATGTTGCAAAAACGGATAAGGCGAGCGATCGAGGGAGGAAAATTAGGTTAGGTTTCGACTAAAGATTTCGGCAGCGGGGAAAACCGCACGCACGCACACACAACGGGAAATCACCTCGTTCTCCTTATTGTTCCTGATCCCGCGCACCAGATCCGTCAGATTCTTGTCGAACATCCGCTCGAAGTTCCCCTTTACCTTGCGGAGTGCCATGGTCGCATCTAAAGGAAAATATTAAACGCCGTTGCGCTCGCGCGACTCCGCTCTCAGGGGACTTCCTCGCGCATCGGCCGTACTTCTCGACTCGCGACCGGACCACACGTGGACCTATGATACCATTACAGTTAACCGAAATCCGCGTAAGTCCCGATCCGATCCGCCGACCTGCATTCACATTTTTTGACAGACTGGCGTGGACTGAGTGGACTGACGAGTGGCGGACGGGCGAGAGGGGGAGAGAGAGACTAGAGAGAGAGCTACTCCGGAGTCCGGTATCATACCTACGAAATGTCAAGAGGGCAGACAAACACGAGCTATCTCACTCACGTATCCTCCTCCCGTTGAGTATGTAGCTCTATCAACGTGTCCGACTCGACTGTCACAAATCGTTCCGGAAATGCGATTCTCACGAACCTATACTTTCGACACGTGGATGCGAGATCCAAATTAAACAAATATAGGAATATATGCAATATGTATTTTAAAATATATGTATATACATGTTTTTTATACATTATATTGATTATATATTATAATGGTGCGCTCATCACTTATATAATTTTTTATATTTTTATACATTTTAAATCCATTTTATAAAATATCTTTAAGTAAAAAACGAAGTAATAAAAAAAATAAAAACTTTGAAGAATATACTTTTTATGTGAACCCAAAGATGACCATCATTTATCCTTAATTTAAAATAAAATTACCTTATTTAAAATAAAAGTATCTGATTGGCTGGGCCAGTGGAAAACTCCGGGCACCGGGGACTGTGATGGCCATTGCACGTAACAAAGTTTTAGTCAAATCGAAAAGCCCGGTGTCCACGATGCAAGAACTGTGTCCAAGTTTTGGTTTAATGCCCTGTGTCCACGATGCAAGAACTTGGTCCAAGTTTCGGTTTAAGCCAATCAACTTGCAGCTCTTACAGAAAAGCAGCAGTTTCATTGGCTTAAACCAAAACTGGGACCAAGTTCTTGCATCGTGGACACCGGGCTTTAAGTTTAGAGCTCTAAAAAAGTAGGTATTCTCGTCCGCCATTTTGTATCCAATCATATGTGAAAACATAACCTTTTCGTAAACGCTTTTCGGTCTCGTATTCTCAGGTTCCAAAATGACTGGCTGCGTTGCAATTAATTGCAGTAATAGAAGCGAAAAAGGGTTTAAACTTTTTCGAATTCCAATAAATATGGAGCGACGAAAAAAGTGGCTTCAAAATCTAAATCTTCGCCATGAACAGTGGATATCAAGCAAATCAGGTTGTGTCTGTGAAGTAAGTCCAACGCTGTAAAAGCAAAGCATTATTTGTGCCTCATTAAATTGAAAATTAATTATTTTCCTTATTACAGGTACACTTTGAGGATTCACAGTTCGAAAGTAGTCGTGTCGACGGTTGGAAAAAATTAAAGCCAAATGCGGTTCCTACTTTATTTCCATCTCGCAGGATTGATTCATCTCCAAGGAAGTCTCCATACAAAGTAAATAAGCTTGTTACTTCAGCGAAATGTATGTATAGTTTTTTTTTAAGGAAGAAAGAAAAACAATGGATATTTATTTATATACTAATTATTTGTTAATTTTAATAATTTATAATATATTACAGGTTCAAATTGTTCAAATTATGATAAGTTATTGAGCGAAAATGAAAACTTAAAGAAGAAAATAAAGAAATTAAAAATATTACAAGAAAAAAAGCTAAATTGGCAAGCAAGCATATTTCATACTATTATACGTGACAAAGAAGCTGTGTTGAAGAGAAAATTGGAAATAGCTAAAAATAAAACTAAAACCTTAAACAAAAATACGAAGCGAAAAGAGAACACTCTCACAAAGTTAAAGATATTATTGGAATTCTTAGGAAGCAAAAATATTTCGAATGCTGCTGCATTTAATTTAAGTGATGAATCAGATGATTTATCAGATACTCTATTAAAAAATATAAAAAGAAATAAAGCTAAGTTTACATACAGTCAACATGATGAACATAATTACGCTTGTTCTGGAGAGGTAAAATAATTTGCTGTTACTATGTATTACTATTTGATTAATTTAATATAATTTATATTGTATGGTGATTATTGTAATAACTATCGTATGTATGTTCTCCATTTCTGATTAAATGTTCCAATAGATAAAAATGCCTTGGTACGTTAACATATTAACGATTAGATTGATATTGAAGTAATTACTAACATTGATATTACAAACTTTCTTAATAATTAAAGAACTTATTTACAAAATATCTTAAATACTTCAATGTATTATCCTTATTTGCAAAATTGTGCTAAAAGAATCAGAACTGCTTTTACTAATTAGGTAAATTGCTTTTTTACAGTTTCTTTATACTTATGAAGGAATGAATTGGCGTATGTTTAATATAAGCTGTAAGCCTGTTTAATATAAGATTAAACATATTTTATAAAGACTAAAAAATAATTAGTGTCAAAATCCATAATTCTATAATATATATTTTAAGAATATAATTATTTATACAATATAGTTTTTCTTGTATAATATAATTACAATTTAGTATTTCTTACAATTAAAATTTATATTATAATTACAATATAGTATTTCTTTTTGACAACTAAATTGCAGCTGATTTTAAAAGACTATAAAAAAATTATAAAAAAGTAGTCAATGGAGAGTAACCTTGTGAAAATCGATACTTTTATTTTTATCAATGTGAAGATTAAATAAATCTATTATTTTGGAGTTATAATTATTATACAATAGTCATCATACAATAAAATTTTGGATTTTTCTGATAATGGCTTAATGGATATTAATTAGTTCATCTAGTTGTGTTTATAAAATTTGTATGAAAACTGAGAAATAGTTGGATATGATTGATTATACTGATGATTGTAACTGAGAATTATCTACCATAGAATATTTAAATTTAAAAATTGCGAGAAGAATTAAAAATACTTTTGTTCTTGATTCGTCAATATTCCCAAATTTAAAAAGCAGTAATGTATGGGTTTCGAATATATTATATAAAATTCAACTTATTATTAGTCAATATATTAAAATAAGACTACACTCGTATTCTAAATTTTATTTACAAGAGATCTTGAAAACTCAAAAGGATTTTATTTAACAAAAATATTTTTCTACAAAAAAATAACATAATATATCTGCTATTGTAATAAAAATGTTACTGAACTACTTCTTTTATTTTACTACTTAAAAAATGCTAATCTTATTATGTACATATATAAGACTAAAAATATGTTAGTGTAGTCAAACTATAAAAAATTACTTCAAAATTGTCATTATTATTTTATAATCACATAAACATTTATTTTAATTTTTATGTTTAAACTGATATCTTTTGCTTTATAAATTTTTTTGGTTTCTCATAAAATAGGTATAAGTGTATGAGGGGTGTATGTATGCATATATTTATTATGTATTTCTAAAATATACTCTCTGTAATATTTTATTTTTAAAACTAACAATTTTTTAACAAAAAAGAACAAATTATTGCATGTTATTTACAAATATTTCTTTTTCGAATGTATGTACGCAATAAATTGCGTGTGTGTAACATGTGTTATTTAAAATTCAACCAATCAAACATGACTATCGTGTCCCTAACACGACGCACGCGCATGAGGTCTGCATGTATATATCACGTGTACATACATATGTATGTACATACATATAACATCCATACATCCATACATATTTTTCGGAGCCATGTAGGAGAGTTTAGCAGTTTAGTTCTTATATAGATGTTTGTGGCCACGTATTGGTGCCTCGATGCTAACTTTATTAGACGGCGAACGTATGTAGGTATGTATACGTATCTACATACGTTTCGTCTCCACCGTATTACGTATTACAGAGCTTAGAAAGAAGAGACGAGTAGACGACGACGACGACAAGTCGCTGACCAATTAATCGAGACCCTCCAGGACATAACCGGCCCCGGCTCTCGCACTCACACACACGTGCATACGTGCGCTCTCACGATCTCTCGGGCTCTTCTTTGTATTGACCCACCCACACTCCGGGCTCCGGGACCTCTTCGGGGCGTTCGTCTTATTGTCAGATTGCTCTCAACCTTCGCGGCCGCCGCCGCGATCGCGCCGAAGATCGGAGAGCGAGCCGAGACGGCCGAGACAAAGGCCGGAGAGCGGAGTCGAGGGCGAAGAATTTAAAAGAGTGCCGGAGTCGTCGCGAATACGCCGGATCGATCATGGAACGGCGCGCATCGCGCCTCCGTGCGACGCGAGGCCCTCGCGAGCGCGCAGCGTCCTGAAAAGAAACCGGAACGGAAGGGAATAGCTGCACGGAATTCAGCAGCGAGAGAGAGAGAGAGAGAGAGAGAGTGTGTGTGTGTGTCCGCGGCTTCGGCCCGCGTCTCGTTCGCGTTTCCACTGGGCGTCACTGTCGGGGAGTCGGGGGCCAGCGGCATCCGGGGGCGGCGGACACGAGGCACGACACGACGCATGAACGCGCCCCGCGGTTCGGAGGTTGAGAACCGCTCCGGTATTTGTATATTTAATTTCTTATCTCTCTCTCCCGGTCGCGCGCACGGGAATTCGGGAATTCGCGCGCGAGGAAATGCCTCTCGCGCGCGGCGTCACGTCGCCGTATCGCGACGTCGCGTTTCGCACGGCTGCCGCCGAGACCCGGCCGGGGACCCGGTCACGTCATGAGATACATTAAATTGCCTCGTCGATTGCTCCGCGATGCCGTGCGAGAAAGCGCTCGCCCGTCGTACCACGCGACGTTAACGCAACATATTGCGACGATGCCGTCTGCACTTTGTTTGCGTCACCGTTACTAGACCGGGGAAAACTTGTTTTACGCACCTACGAGACTATCGTTGGGATTTAACACTTATGATTATGATTGTACTTGATAATTAAAAGTGACATTCCGCAAAGGAGAACGCTCGTCTTCACTCTTCTCTCACTGTACTCTTCTTTTTTTTTTATCTTGCAGATAACTTGTCGCAGGTGAACGTTTTGTTGTCCTCGGCAGAACAATGACTTCGGGTTACTTCACTCTACCGATTAATATGGACAGAGTATGCAGGATCTGTCTCACCGAGGGCACCAATCTGTCGTCGATTTTCTCCTCTACTCAAGAAGTGAACGATCTCACGGATCTCTCTCAAAAAATACAAGTCTGTGGCTCCATCGAGATACACGAGCAGGATGGATTACCTTCCCTGATATGCGACGTCTGTATTTATAAGGCCAGTGTCGCCCACGAGTTCAGGCAACAGTGTCAACACTCGGACGCGAGGTTGCGAATGTACTATAATAAGCCTGCCAAAATGAAATCTGCCACGGTAAACGCATCACTTTGTCAACTTATAATTGTTTGTGTGTGTATATCAGACATACAATAATGTATGCATACGTAATGTAATTTTTCAGGATTTTCAAGATTCTTGTACACAGACAGACCAAACAAGATTCCTATTTTCGAAAAAGCCAGACTTCCAGGAGGATTATTTTGCGAAGGACGACATGCAGGTGGTTGAGAGTGAGCAAGAGTACATTCAAACCACCGACTCGTTTCCCAGAAGCGAAGTCAGTCTGAATGCCAATCAAATTCAAATGCCATGCGAAAAACTGTTCATCTGTTCCATTGGATTTGAAAGTGCTAAAGAGGAGGGGAAGGATTCTTGCATATCGGAGACCGAAGTTCACCAAATGACGATAGCTCAGGAAGATGCGCAGGATACGTCTAACATCATCAGTTTGCAAAACAAGGATGACGACATGAAGGAGGCCGAACAGTATGTAGAGAAGAACAGTGTAGATCAGGAGGAGCAGTTCGTCAATGAAAGCTTGTCCAATGATAATGTCGAAGAAGAGGAAAGCGTCCCGCAAAAACGTACGTCTGCGAGAAAGACGAAGTCGGCACCCGCTAAAACGTATAGCGACGACGAGATTGCTGACAATTATTACGAGCCGAGCAGCGACAGTCAAGATTCAGTGGAGTTGAAATTTAAGTGTAAGGTCTGCTCCAAGCAATACGCCACGCAGAAAGGTCTGAAGAAGCATTCGTTGGTCCACGAGAAGAAGTACAAATGTGATGTCTGCTTAAAGATGTTTTACAAACAGGAGAACATGGAAAACCATCAGAAGATTCATACGTCGAAGCCGCACGCGTGCCAGCTCTGTCACGCGTCCTTCTCAAAATCTCAGAGTCTCGTGAGACACTTGAAGTCGCACACGGAGAAAGTGAACGATATGATTAAGCAGATCAATACGAGCGAGCGAAAGGATAATAAGGAACCGAAGAAAGAGCTCAAGAGCGAGGACGATACCGACGATGAGACCGGGCCTGCAAATGAGGCGGACGAATTCGAAAACGCGCCCGAGTTGTACAAATGCGAGATTTGCAACCAATATTGTTCATCCTTGAAGAACCTAAGAAGACATGCCCTCGTGCACGGCGACAAGAAATATTCTTGCACCGTGTGTAAAAAATGGTTTTTCAGGCCGGACACGCTGAAAAAACACGCGGAGAAGCATGGGCACGGGCTGTTGGATAATTTGGTGGATGACAACAAGCTGTACGATTCGGACGACGACGATATGCCAGGCAACACGATGGATACCCCGCAAGAGAGCGAGAACGTCAAGAAGGAGGAGAGCGACGAGGAAGGATCCGGAGAGTACAAGTGCCAACACTGTGACAAGGTCATGGCTACCAAGAAAGGTCTGCGACGGCACGTGTCGATGCACAAGCCGAAGGCCGAGCCCGTCACCTGCGAGATCTGCAGGAAAGTCTGCGCTAGTCAGGCTCGTCTCGTTCTCCATCAGAGAACGCACAAGCCGAAGGAGAAGGTGCCGCGCGAGTACCTGTGCCACATCTGCAGTAAGGTATACCCGAGCAACTCGTCCCTCACCTATCACATGCGAACTCACACCGGCATCAAGCCGCACGTGTGCAAGACGTGCAACAGCGGCTTCACGACCACGACGAGCTTGGCGAATCACATTCGCATTCACACGGGCGACAAGCCGTTTGTCTGTCACGTGTGTAGCGCCGCGTTCGCTGTGAGCTCGGCTTTTCGCCGACACCTGACCCGGCACACCGGCGAGGCGAATTACCTGTGCAAAACCTGCGGCAAGGCCTTCAAGAGGCTCAGCACGTTGAAGGAGCACACGTACACTCATTCCGGTGAGAAACCGTACGTGTGCAAGACGTGCGGCGCCGCGTACAGCCACAGCGGCAGCCTCTTCGCGCATCAGAAACGCTGCCGCGCCCAGTACGGCGAGATGATTGTCGACGATCACAATCATCATCACATACCGCACACTGTCACTCATATCCACGTGAATATGAATAACGTGAATAACGGGGCGGGAGTGCGACCGGTCGCTGTGATAGGTCAAATGTTCTAAGAACGAAGACGAAGTGGTGTCACAGATTACAAGCGTTGTCCGCGAGTGTCTGCGACGGATGTCATGTATAAGCTGTTGCTACTGTAGCTGTAAAATCCTGCACGAAAGGCATGCGACATAAGCTACACGTCATCTCTGTAAATATACGCAGCTCTTGTTTTCATAATGGGAAACGTTCCTTGGACATGCACGGAAAGACACTAACGTTTTGCTTTAAAAAACACGTAAATGAGTATCCGTGATGTAATAAAGTTAAATGTATGTTTATACGAGGAATGAAGAGTTTTCGAAATGGAATAATTACTATTATTAAAATTGCGAACTATTTTTTTATAATTTGATATCATAGGTATAAATATTTGTGGATTCCACATATTTCAACATATGTACATATATGCATATATATATTTTTGTATGTATTCGTATAATCCAGATCTTGTTGTACCACATATTACATGATGGTTGTTTAGTTTGTTGCGTTATTTTAGGAGGGAATAGTTGACTTTCTTTTCATATAGCCGAGCCTCATTTCTTTCCCTCATCAAGTATACAGACTCATTTATCCGATGATTTATTAGAATTGATTTGAGAATTAAATCAGTAAATGGAGACACTGGAAAATTAAGACAAATAATTCGCGATGCTGATGAAAAAATTACAGAAATGCGATTATATTTAGAAATTCAATAGAAACGCATATCTTCTATCCTTTTCTTCTTAGATGTAGAAATTCCTACGAATAATGATAAATTTATAAAGCATGTCGACACGAAGCGCATTTATTAATTATTTGATTTTTAGAGTACATTTGAAAAACTTTAATAGCTGATCTGCAGGAATGGTAGCGCTAAAAATGTAATATCAGGTATACAATTTCTGGGCTGTGACTATCGTGTACATGATAACCGAATGAAAGAAGTCGATACGATCTACTCATTTAATAAACTTAATCGGCATATATTCCATCACCAAAATACATCATGATTAAATGAATGATAATCATACTCATGCTATGTACACATTTACAAGAATCAAGAATCACTTAGATTATGTAAAATGATTACGATTTGTGACGAGTAAACGTTATCACACGAACTTTGTTAAAAATGAAAATCTTAACGTTATGTTAGGTATAATATAGATACAGAGATGTAATATTCTTTTAACCGAAAATATTATATTTAAAAGTAATAATCGGGATATGATTAATTTAATATTATTCGTTGATTAGTACACATTTCTTGGCAAATTATATTTAAAGCGTTAGAATTTAGATTTATTTTAATTCTCATCAAATAAAACGACGAAAACAATTTTATAAATTGAGCAAAAAATAAGTGAGGAATGTACAAATATACGTATAAATAATAATAGTTACATTATATATATAATAACAAGTTATAGACACGAGACTGATCATTCATTTAAATATTTAATGATACAAAGTTTGTAATTAAATCTTATTCTCCCGAATGCTGAAGAAGTAAAATTTATATTTTAAAATCTTAGCTATTATCATTTTGTTATATTTTTTGTACTGCTAATTAAAGTATTAGCTTCTCCGTAATTCTTGTTGCAACATTATAGGATCTCTTATCAATATATAATTAAATGGGTTTTTTTTTATCAATCAAAATATATATGTTTATCGAGTTTTTTATTTCCCATAGCGCTTAATTTAACACGCATACATATCGCATATTTATTTATATTATTAAAAAACTTGTATTAATAAAAGTTTTATATGATTGTACATTCTTTTCATTATAAACAGAAAGCGTTCAAAGGAAGATAAAAATGAAATTTATTAATAATAAATAAAACATTTAACTAAACGGTAAGTATTTCATACTTGATTTGGTACAAAGTTAAAATTGAACAACGTACTCTGTAGATTTATAAATCTGGAGTTCTATTCCTAATAAACTATATAATAGAACAATATTTAACATAACTTGTATAACCGGTATAAAAGTTTAGTGTACATAATATTATTTCTTTGTACAATTTCTATTTTATAGAATCTAATCCATAATTTTATATAAAGCTCGTTATATAAAGAAAACTTGTTTAATAAGCTATGTAGATTTTTACGAATAAAACGTTTAAATTTTATTTTTATATTTTATTACAGGAGATGCTCGAAGTGCCTACCTTGAACTGATGCTTGGTGTTTACTGCGTCGATGGTTTCTGACCATATCGTAAACATACAGCATAATTTCAATTGAAATAATGTTAAAATTCTTTATATTGAGGAAAATTTTAACAAGAGACTTCAGACTTAATTATCTCTAAAATAATTCGTGTTAAAGAACAAAAGAATGAAATCAACTTAAATAAGGACACTACTGAGTTTCTTGACAGTGCATATTTTGATATTCTTGACGAATTTTCCAATATCTTAATTTAATCGCAATCGTATGTTTTCTTGTTTATTTTGATTATATATTATATTATATCCATCGTCCCCTTTAACGTGTATCAGCAGTTTATTCTTTAACTTTGTGGCAGTAGGAGGATAATGAAAATTAGACACACTTCCGTTATAATTTATTCTTCACATTCTTGTAAATTTATTTTCTTTCAATTAATTTTGTGAAAAAGAAATTAATTTTCTATTACTCCAATTTTTATTTCCTAGAACCATTACCTAGAACTATTCTATTTCTTGGAATTTTTTTAAATAAATTGTAATTTTTACTTATTCGGTGTTAGGAAGCGAGAATAAGATGATCCAAAGTGTCCAGAGAGAATGTCACGTGAAAAATTTGATTTTTATATAAAGAAAAGAGTATCATATTGTATAATTAAAATCCATCGTGATAAAAATAAAACTTATTAAAAATATTTTATTAAAATAAATACATTAATCGTCTTTATTTGTTCTTTTCTTTTTTAAAACTCGATAACGTCGCCAAATAGAATTTCTTGTTCTCCGAAGAACTTTAGCCAAGTCAGCATATTTACGTCTTTCATCAAGAGATGGGTTATGTTCCAAGTGATTTATTATCATTTCATCTTCTTCAGGTATATACCTAGCCATTTTAAATGTTAATATTTCGTTACTATTGTTAAAAATTAACTAACTTAACACTAAAGTTATTTTACAATTATATAAAAATAAATATAAGGTAGTTAAGTATCACATACATGAATATATTTTGTTGTATATTACCTTCTCTGCACATTATCCTCGTATAAATTTTTAAATCTATGGTAGACACTATACAAAGTTCTATCTGGTAAACCATCCGCTAAAAATTGTACAAATTTCCGTCTTTCTGTGGTATTTCGCATGTATGTCAAATTACCAATTCTTAATTGTAAAAACGGTTTAACTTTTTTTCTATCCCAATTATGTAGCTGTTTAAAAATTAACATTGTAAATCATTTTTGCATCAATAAGCGAATAGGGATTATTTTGCATACTAACCTTGCAAAATGCTTTCCAATTTTTAGCGATAATGTCGTCCTCTTTAAAAGAATACGAGCCCCTCTTAATTGGTATTATTCTCTCAAACTCTTTTATTTCCTCTCGTGTTGGCATGTGAGATCCGGCTCGTGTTTCAATGTTATGCTGTGGTGGTACCACGTGTCTTAATTTCACACATAAATTATGCAATTGCTGAAATATAGAAAGTAGCTATACATATACATATACATTTACCTTATTCGCAAAGCTTTTGTTAATTAAATTTCTTTCAAGATTATTACCAGTAATTTTTCTTGGGATAATCTCTCTGCCGATGCTATTTGCCGTGCTAGATATGTTGCATCACTGCAATACTCTTCTTCTACACCTTCATCGTCAGACGAAGGTTTAACCTTACAAGTGTCCTTATTCTTCAATTTTCTCTTCAAATTATCATCTTCATTTTGTAATGTTTCTGTCTCATTCCAAGTATCTTTATTTTTACATTTAATTTCATGGATATGTTCATTCTCCGATTCTTCCGTCGAATCACTATCTTCATCCTGTGGTGTTTTTATCTCATTCCCAGTAACTTTATTCTTATCTTTAACTTTACAAGTATCTTTATTCTTCAAATCACTATCTTTATCTTGTGTTGTTTTCTTATTTCTAACAT